GTACAGCATGAGTGAGAGTAGGTGGGTGGGGGGGGGGGGGGTGGCCAGGGAGCAGTGATCGCTGCTCGGGAACTGTCTGGGTATCGGTCGGCGGGTGGTGAGCAATTGCATTGTGCATCACTTGCTTCATGTATCATTATTATTATTATACTGTTACTATTAGCATTACTATTTTACTTTATTTCAATTATTAAACTGTTCTTATCTCAACCCAGGAGTGTTTCTCACTCTTACTCCTCTGATTCTCTCCCCCATCCCATCGGGGCAGGGGGAGTGAGCGAGCAGCTACGTGGTGCTTAGTTGCTGGCTGGGGCTAAACCACGACACACAGATTTCAAAATCATCTCTTCTCCAGGCTGGAAAAGGACTTTACAGGCTATTACTTGTTCTCATATGCTGCATCTTCCATACATTTGATCAACCTTATTACTAGTCTATTAACTACTGCTATAATTTTCTTTTCGAGAAGGGGTGGATAGGTACCACGACTGCACAGAGATTTCACCATGTTGCTAAAGTTCTTAAATCAACTGCATGCTGGTGCTCTGTTTCACTACCCATTCCCTTCCCTGTAATTCCTAATATTTGACTTGCCTGTAAAGCATAGAAGGGGAAAGAAACAGTCCTGTTTTTTCATACAAAATGAGGACCTTCAACAAGACTGTAGGACAGCTTTGTGAGAACATTTCTTCCCACAACTAATGATTTTGCATTTAAGACTACAGAATTTTATTCGTGATTTTAACACCTAGTTACCCACTCTGGTAATCTCCTTTCAGAGTTTTGTGGTCTTTGAACAGCACCAAACTTCATAACCTCATTACTCAACATTCATAAAGCACTAGAAAAGAGGATGAGCAATACAGGTATCGGTGAAAATGCCAGGGACACCTCCTTCCAGCCTGAAAGCAGATGTTATTACTATACTGTGCTCTAGCTTTTAGCTTAATTTAAAACTGACAAAAACCAGTCAATGTCACAACTCTACTTCTTAACCCAAGGCTGCTTAGTTTCCTTAACAGTCTTGTAAGAGATCATACCAATTACCACCTGGAAATCAGAGAAGACTGTATCACATCTCCCTTAGCTATGCACTCGTAAACTACCTCAAGGAGTTCTAAAAAAATTCCTTTACAAAAGCCATACTGTCTATCCCCCAGAATAATTTTTGTACATAAATTCCCTATCTCCATTCTTTCAGTTTTAACTAATTCAACCACTGAACATATCAGACTTGTCGGTGGTTTCCCTGATCTTTCCTAGAATCCTTTCTAAAAGTTAGGGTCATGCTATCTGCCTCCAAGCATTTGGTTGCCAAGACAGTTTAAGCAAGCAATCACATAAACCCCTTAGTACTTCAGCAATTTCATTTCCATGTTCCTCAGTCAATTCCTAGGTTGGTATCTCATAGTTCTTTAATGCTAATTTTTCTTGTCTTGTTTTATAGCAACTTCTATTAATGCTGCCATCACAGAGAAGTTGTTTGATGAATCCCCTGAAAAGAAGGGTCATGGTTTAGAATTCACCCTGAGCTCTTCCTCTCTGAACACAGATGGGAAAAGAATCACCTCATTTTCATTCTTTCTGCAACAAATTTCTTTTTGACTACTCTGTTCTGTTTTCAGCATTTCTTCCGTGCAAATGTATAGGCCTTCTGAATCTGCCTCACTGGCAAGTACTTCCCCTTGCTTTTAATAATTTCCCATGACTGCATACATAGCCAGGTCTGCATACTTTCACCTCTTCAAGTCTTTCTTAAGAAGTCTTTCGTTGCATTTGTCCCTATCAGAAAAAAGTTCACTTTGGCTGCCGCTTAATTTATAACCATCAGACAACGGCTCTATTCAGATTACATGTGCATCACTAGACCATAAATACTGCCCTCATTCCCAGCTAGCATGGATGAAGAATTACACTCAGTGAGGTTTCTTAAGATGCAGTGGTACTGCACAACATTTCTGCATTTTACATTAACTTCATTAAAATCTTACCTTTTAAGTCTAAATATGAAGTCTACCAGACTAAAAATTTGTGACACCTACACTTGTCATTTCAGGCAATCATCTGCTGTTTGGTGGAGTTGGTCAAACACTAGCTGAAGCAGCACATCAGAACATGCAAAACTCCTAAATATTAACCATCAGACAGCTTTCTGGTTCTGATTAGCCAAGTGTTTTCTCTTTTCCTGAGACTAAGCAGCACAAGGTACTTTTCAGCTGTCACAAATCAAGAGGAGCAGGGGATGCCAGCACAAGCCGTGAGACTACACAAAACAAAGGACTATGACTGCTGCTAATTCAGACCTACCATGCAGAGCCCACATTGGCTGGACTACATACAGTGGCATACCCCTCCATTTGCTCTTTCAATTAGCGGGCAGTTACCTTGATTGCAGGACAGGACAGCATCCCCGTGTTTGTGAATTTTCATCTGTGCCTCTGCCAAATAATGCCATGCTGCTGGACACTGGCTAGTCTTCTGCAAACCTAATGAAAGAAGAGTTTAAAAAAGGCACTAAAAAAAGTTGCTTAGGGCTGCAAAGACACTGTAGCTGGCAGATGTTATATTGCCACATACCATCAAATACATATTATCAATCAGATAATAAGACTTGCAGATAATTTTTTATTTGAGTCTTATTTTAAACTGTTTTAGACATACAGGCCTCCATGCAGTAAGGCAAAGACTAAGAAGCACGTAAGCTTCTGTTAGGCTTAATTTTGCATATAACATCACATACACAGAAAAGAAAAAGGGGAAAAAGTGAGGAAATACACAACACTGGCTTAAGGTGCACCTCTGGTTCAAAAAGAAAAAAATCCTTCACTTTGATCAGATATTAACAGAAGCAGCCTGCAGACCACTTTATAAAGTTTTTCTTAGAAACTGGAGAAGGCCTACAGAACTTCAAGACAGCAAAAAAAATGATGGCAAGTGTTCACTGAAATTTCCTGATAAACTTGGCTAAAGATTCAGTAATAAAACTGAATTTTGAGTCTTCTGAGATACATACACATATATATATTACTACTAAATAATGCCTTGAAGCTTCAGTGCCTAAAATGCAAACACTTGGCTTACTGGGAAAGACATCATTTCCAAGCTTTAGACATTTCTGCTGATATCAAGAGCCTTGTCCTTTGCATTCTCCCGTTCATGAGCAGAGTATTACATGTAAAAGTAAAAATAAATAAATGAAATTATTTGGGAGATGTATCTTTTGTCAAAAACAGGGTGTGTGTTTTGTCAAACCCTCCAATGGCCATTTATTAAGCCAGAAGAATTTGCCTTCCATGGAAGACTTTTTCCCCTTAAGCACCTCAGATTTTTATTTCAGATTTTAGGCAAGACGTGTTATTTTACTGTGGGTAAGCTACTGCAGAATATTGTGGAATATTCCAAAATCTGATTTCAGAAACAATCTTTTTCTAAACCTGGGTGAAAGGATGCAGGATATCACAGCATAGCCTGACTGACTCTTGATTGCTTAGATCCCAAATGCATATTTACCCAGCTTTCTCAGTAAGCAGTTTTGAATTATCCATGGCCAGCACAGTGAGAGTGGAGAGTGCTAATCTCCCAGTAGTATACTTTTGAATAATTTTCAAGGAGCTTTTCCATTTCAATACAAGCAAAATAATTACAGATTAGTAAGCCAACTCTTCACCAATTCTGGCAACTGTAAAAAAAAATCCTCCGATATTTCTTTTCAGATACCCAATATAAGTGTTTACCCAATGTAAGTGTTAAAGAGGTCTTAAAATCATGTAACTTTAAAGGGAAGTCATTTTTGTTCGGGTATAGAAATGCAGTGACTAGATTAGAATAGCTGCATTATATTTTACTTTATAAATTCCACATTCCTTCATTAACTGCTGTTGCTGTATTTTCTGCTTCATCTAGGTATTTCCCCAATAAGAGTCAGACTGAAAAAAAGTTTAAACTTGATCACACTAAAATACTACAGAGCTGACTATAATAGCAATGACAGACTTCAGAGATTTTATACCTTAAGCTATATTTAAAAAAAATTCAATCTCCAGTCAGAGAAAGCATTCAGTATTCTTTTAAAATCTAGCTGGTCTTAGAACTGACAAAGTACTATGCAAGTATAAGATTCCCAAAATATCCACCATAAACTAGCTGGTGTTCAAGTGATAGAGTACTTATACCTCATATTACACAGTTACCTTCAGTAAGACTCTTAACAGCCTCCTTGTATTTCTTTTCTTGGAGGCATCTTACACCAAAACCAATGATGCCTGGACCACTGCTTGCGTCCATCTCCAAAAGCCTAGAAAAACAGTGCAAGGCTTCTTCTGACAAAGTACCTAGTTTCAGAAAAAGAAATATTTTATGGAATTTTATGGAAAAAAAATGCAGCAGGATACCTTATCTACATAAATACGACCCTTACCCTTTGAGCTCAAAGTAATGTATTTATTAACAGATTTTTTTTCCAAAGGTACTACATACTTACCACCCTCCACCCCTAAAATCAAACTAAGCAGTAATCTAAATAACCCAGTACCACCAAACACAATAAACTGTCAGTTTGAAACCTGAATTTTTAACCACTCATGTTAAATTAGTACAGGTGTACTTCCTTTATTAATAGAAACTAATTCCTTCATATGCTTTTCATGTAAGCCCAGCTGAATGCCCACATGTCAGTATCTGCCTCAAACAAATCAAAATAATTTTGTTCCAGAGTAGGCCTTGTGTACCTACAAATTTGCTGTGGTGAGCTTGCTGAAACTGTCTCACTGTCAAACCACGTAATTTGATGTCTTGGCTTAATTTTAACTGATGCCACTAACCTTTTACACTTATGTTTAGCTGTGATTGCAGACTTGGCAGTTCTTGCTTAAAGCAACTGTTGTGACTTGCATCAACAGTCTCTGAACTACTGTTTTCTTTAAAAAAATTATGGACTCAGTTGACATAAAGATTGACTTTGATTTGCATTTTAGAAAGGTGACTAATAATGCATCTGAGTTACAAGCCCGCAAGTTTGGGGCATGAAGGACTATGACACCTTTGGAATGCCTCAGATATAAATAGCCTTACTAAAACCTAAGCATCATCTTCTTCATACCAGGACGGCTGTGGGATGGTGAGATGTTGTTAGAGCATTGGTATATAAGAACTGTGCCAGCCAGATGCTCCTTTTCCTTTGGAAATTAGTTTCTGCATGTTTCTCCAAACTGTAAAGCATTCTCAAGTGGAAATGAGAGTCTGGGCCTCATTTGTCTTCAACCTTTCAAATCAAAGTGAAAAACTCTCTCTTGTTTTATGTTGCTACAGTATTCCATGAAGCCTACCTTCAAAACTGGAAAAGGCATTCTTCTACCTAAGCTGAAAGTTATTTCTCTTTATATAAACCAGAGGGGTTTTCTTCCTGATTTTCTTTCCTTGTTTTAAAAAGAAATAAAATCACCTTCTGATGCCTTAAATGATAAAATGAAAGACCAAAATTTGGTAATCTTTGAAAATGCTGAGAAAGTGTCCAACAGTACCACAATAATGTTTAGTGAACTACTGAAAATAGCAGTTGTATACCTTCAGATCGCTGCAGTACTGAACGTACCGTGTTTGGGTTTTTTTTCCTCAGAGATTCTCCTTTTCTACTTTGGACATGTATCTAGACAGATCTGTTTATTCCCTATTCACCAGGCATTCTTTTGAAGAAAGTTTCACAAATATGTTTGTTTTTTTCACCAAGAGAGATTTTCTCTGTCAAGAATAGCCTAAGTGTAGCCCATCCTCAGCCTTAGTGCACTGGTTAACTTTCTCCATTCCCTCTTCTAGGCTTAAGAAGCTAACCTTCATTTATCTGGAGAGGCTGCTTTTGAGTTGTGTAAAACATTCTTTCTTTGTGACTTTGTACATTGCCAGAGTTGGACTTAACTTGCAGAAGATTTTAGCCAATTTACAGTCACCACTCAGTTACAGAGCTAGGAAATAGCAAGGCATAGGACCAAACGCTTTTCATTTCCAAACAAGCAGAAATATAACATAAAAGTAAATAGGGTACTTGTATTGGGTTGTGAAGGGTAAAAACTTGTAAAGAGACTGTCACAAAACTAACTATAAAAGAAGTCTTTTAAACCCCCAAAATTTCCAACTCCATCCTACTCACCTGATTGAATAAAGTGTAAGCAAAGTACTTCTAAAGGATAACTCACAGTAGGATACAAAGCCATCATATCATTACAGGCCTTTTCCAACCTAGCTGTTTCATGAGGAAACTTGAAAGGAAAAAACCAAATAGTTATTTATGTGAATTATCAGGTGTGGAATATTACATCTATTCACTGATGAAGACAGATTAACATAACCTTACTTTTGACAAGCACTGAATAAAGTCCTTGTAGAGATTTTGGTGATCTTCACCAGGAACAGTGTCAGCAGAGTTCACCGCATGTTCAAATGCAGTCAAAAGCTGAAATAAGAAATAATTAGGAGTGCAACAAGCAATGACAGTAGGAAAATGTCATCTTCATTGAACAGAATATTTCAGTTGGAAGGGACCTACAGCAACCATCTAGTCCAACTGCCTGACCATTTCAGGGCTGGCCAAAAGATAAAGCCTGTTATTAAGGGCATTGTCTAAATGCCTCTTAAACACTGACAAGCTTGGGGCATTGACCACCTCTGCAGGAAGCCTGTCCCAGGGTTTGACCACCCTCTCGGTAAAGAAATCCATCCTAATGTCCAGTCTGAACCTCCCCTGATGCAGCTGTGAACCATTCCCACATGTCCTGTCCCTGAATACCAGGGAGAAGAGCTCAGTACCTCCCTCTCCACATCCCCTCCTCAGTAAGCTGCAGAGTGCAATGAGGTCGCCCCTCAGCCTCCTTTTCTCCAAACTAGACAAGCCCAAAGTCCTGAGCTGCTCCTCATAGGACATTCCTTCCAGCCCTTCCACAGTTAAGTGGATAGTTACATGTTATTATATGGATCCTACTCATTAAGTTTACGCTAGTACTGTGAACAGAGAAAGTCACAAAGGAAGTTCCTTACTATAAAGTAGTACTCAAATAGGATCCAAACCATGTTAATTGTCTAGTATGAGAGGAAGCAGCTATGTACTGTTTCATAACGTAAGATGGGTAAAAGGAAGGCAAAATTTGTAAGAACATAGATTCTTCTTCATACCTAATCCCAATTCAAAGAAGGACTTGGTACAACAAAACCTAGGTTGCTATCCTCTACGGTTAGCTGTCAGCCCTCCCCCCTGCTCTAGTCCAGAAATCTAGCCTTTTATTTCTTGACTCATTACATTCAGGAGAACACAGGCACCACAGAGCGCAGGCTACCAAACAAGCACACTAAACAAAAAGTTGCCCACAGCTTGTCACAAGTGAAATACTGAACAGGATGTTGCCTTCAATGCCACAGCCTTCCAGGTTCAGATGCTTTATTCCAAAAAGCAGTAAGTTGTAGATTTGCATGTGAAACCCATTCCTGGTATCTATGCAACTTTTTTCTTCTTAAAACACCTTGTCCCCAAAAAGTAAAGCAGTGCTGCCTGCAGCACCTCTTTTCTACAACAGCTCGTAAGTTAGAGCATTTGCCTTCTCAAAAAGTAGATATCCAGATTCAATTTTCTTCCATCTCAAGTTATTTCAGTTTGTATTTTCCACCTTTCTGGAGCACTGCTATGAACCAGATTGGTGATGAGAAATTTCCACCCCTCCTGTTGAATGAGATTCATCTTGCAAGAACAGATAAATTGGATAAAACAAAATTAACTTTGGCCATAGAGGACACAGGAACAGTATAATTCGTGATCATTCTGTTTGCTCTAATTAGCTTTGATGTTCTTATAAGAAGTGAGAGTTTAAAATCTACAGGAAAAAAGAAAATTTGAAACCAAACATCGCTATCTAGGATAAGCATTATGTACAAAGAAAAGGAAAACCGGAACAAAGCTACCTCTTTCATCCTGGGAGGAAAGCAGGGGGAAGTTTCTTGTTTTGAAGAACACCTACATTCTAGACTCTGTCAAAGCTCATGAATGACGCTTATGAGTGATGCTTCTCAAAACATGCAGAGGTAGAAAAATGCATCATTGTGCTACAGTGCAAACTTGGGACTGCTGCAGAACTTAAGAGGCAGTTAATGAAGGAGTTCCAGGATGAATGCTTGGATTTAGGTGCCTTATTCCAACTAAGGCCCATCTCAGGCTGCTGCACCTTCACTGTTTCTGTCAGAAAGTAAAATCACCCACAATTTCCTGAGAAGTTTAGTACTACTGAACATTAATGAGACAAGCAGACACAACATTTGTATGGTTTTTAAGGCTTTATCTGAGGTCTAGCTGCACTGCGCATATATATGTATCTAGATAAGTAGGAGTGAGAAACATTACCGACTGTTCAGTCTTATTATCCTGGTTCTGTGTACTGTCTTTCAGCAACTGGATCATCTTCTTCCAAAGCTGATGAAGCTCTGCCTTTTCTGCACCTTCCTCCTGTTTCATTTGTATAAGTTTCTGCCATGTTTCAGCCACCTGTCAAGAGGGAACAGAAGAACCACACTGTCGCTCTTTAATGAACCAGAGGTCTAATACAAGGTTTCCAATTACTGCCAACTCTACCACACTAGGGTAGACAACAGAGTAACATTTAAAGTAACGACCCAGATTTACCCGCTTTCCAATTAAAGCAATAACAAGTCCCAATGCATTGTGTGGGACCTGCCCACCCTCCAAGGTACAGTAAGTAAGGGAGGCAACATCAAGATTATGAATTTTGACTCTGGCTCCTGGAGGAAACAAACAGTAAAAATAGACCTAAACAGTCCTCCAATAAACTCTGAAGAAAAAAATGGAAGCCTTATTGGACCTACAAGCACTACAAACAGAAACACAACAGCTGCAGTACATGCTGAAATTCCAGCGTGGAAAAATCAACAGAACTGGAAAAGAGAAAATAGGACCCTGAAGTCTAATTTGTGGTTTCCTGTTGCACGTAGAGCAAGTCTGCTTTCATATGCTAAACTATTAATATTGAATTTAGTTTCAGAAACTGGTATACAGTTTCAAAGAGCCTTTGGAGCTAACGAATAGTCTTGAGCCTGATGCTAAGTGATACATAAATTTTTTAATTTTCCATTGCTGGACGAAAGGGGAGATGATGACACGGAGTAAGACCATGCACTACCTTGTAGGAAAGCAACCTTTTTAAAGAGTAAAGGAAGAGTGAACAGCATAACTACAAAAATATGTATCCTGTAACATTACTGCAGAGACTATAGGCAATGTTACTGCTGAAACATTCAGGCATTTAACAGCTCCATCTCGTGGTACGCTGACAAGAGCCATGACTCTTTCTGCAATGGTCATGCTGACACGGACTTTGGTAGGGCTACCTGGGCTGAAGCTTGGGTTGCTCTGGAGCAGCTTTGCACATCCTTATCGTTGTGGATGGAACGCACCATGTAAGCCACAGGCAATTGTGTTCAGGTCATGCAGAAATTCCACCCTACCCTCTGGCATGAAGTATCAGGGATAGTCTAGGATCACCACACCACTGAAGGGCTAATCAGATACCTAGAACTGGCCACGCTAGGCAAAGGACACCTGAATCACACATACTGCATGTACATGTGCATTTGGGATCATGCTTGACTTCTAGAAAGAAAGCAGAAGCATGAAGTTGCACCCTTTCAGCCTGTATACTAATGTTCTTTGTCAAGTTTTGTCAGTTTCATGGATTGCACCCAAGGCTTATGCAGTAGAAAAGAAAGGAAATAATTAAAATCAGTTCTTCCTGGTAGTGGTCCACAAGGAGACCTTAAGTGGTCTGTGGCCAAAAAACCTGGGGATTCCTTGATGAAAAGTAGCTAGTTCTAGGAAGAAACTCCCATTTGATCAGAAGACAGAAAGTAGTCAACCTACCTCTAAGTACTTCTTTTCTTGATGATATAGTTCCACAAGCTTGTTACAGACATCACACCATTTCTGCTTGTCACCACTGGAAAGGAAGAAGGAAATCCCACAAAAAGAAGCTAAGTTTTCCACAAAACAGTATAATGTTTTTCTAATTTTGACCAGTAATTTTTTAGTAGGTTCAGTTGCTGAACAAATATTTAGAATAACTACTACAGATTGCCCTAAAAGTTTTACTCATTGCTGCTGTAACTGAGTTTAAAAAAAAAGTTACTTTAAGGGATTGTACTTTCCTTTTTGAACAATTTTCAAAGAAACAAACTGAACAGTCCAGTCAGCTACAGTGACAGCTGAGAGTTAGATTTGTTTCGAACTGTACTTATATGAATCAAATGACAATCAAATGACATATATTCTGTGATCTTAAAAGCAGAGAAAAATAAGCCTATTTATTAAGACAGACAATGAACTATCAGAGCTGAATACTTCAAGGCAGTGAGTTTAGAGAGAGGACATAGGGCAACATTAGAATTCTCTAAACTACTAACCTCAAGTACAGTTACTCCAAGAGTTTTTGCCCAATCAAAAGGGACAGGATGAAGAAACCTTATACAGGTACATAAAACCTTTGTAACAAGTGCTTACCCACTGATGTGACAAGGCTTTTAAAAAAAAAACTTGCAGACTATCCTGTGTATCAGCAATGGCATTCACTGAACCAGAAATCTCAGACTGAATTGCAGTATTCAGTATTCTTTACCTTTTATAGAGTTCCAAGAGCTTTTGGTAAACATCTGCTAAGTCTCCTTTGACAACTGTTTGGTTGGATTTCTCATATAAATTTGCTAATCCCTTTAAAAAAAAAAGATAAGAAATAAGTAAGATTTGATGTCAACAGCTATGTGTTAGGAGAACACTGCAAGCACTGCCTAGAAAAATTATTTCATTGCCTTCAGTGGGGTCAAATGTTGATACAGCAATGTAGTAATCTCTGAGCAGAACCTACACTGGTACTTCTGTACAGCCTTATGAATCTGCTTGTTTTAAATGAAAAGCTTTCCTCACTTTCTTAACTAATACCAACAACTATTTGAAACCTCTATATATTACATAATCTTGTCTGCATAACAGACAATATACAAAGCACACTAAGTCGTATGATAAAAGATCTGTAACCAAGTATCATTACCATCTTGTAGAGTAACAGAAAGCCAGAATCTGATTGCAGAACTGAGGGAATTTCAATATACCTTGAAATCAGTCACAGACAGTGATACTTTAAAAAGCTAGTTGTATTGAAAATATTCGGAACCTTACTAGCTTAGAAAAGTATCAACTGTTGGTATCTGAGAGACAGACCTAATATGCGACCTTATGCTTCACAGGTCTCCAAATAACACAACTGTACGTTTTGACTATGTATTTTTATAGGTTGTCATGCATACACGACCCAGCACACAGCTATTTTAAATGTATACTATTGTTTTTCAGTAACAATGACAAAATTCTGTAACAATCCACTTGATGTTGGAAGCTAGAAAAATAAGTTACTAGTTAAAACATTTTCTCTCCTACGAGGGAAGCACTGTCAAATGCTTCTTCAGCTACGAGCAGCACATAAATTCCTAAGCATGGACAAATTTACTTATCTGTTTCAATTCATGTTCTCCCTTGCATGTTTCACTGCCATCTAGTCTACATGGAAATACAAAATTAAATATACTGGAACTGAAGTTCACCCTGCTACACACATGCAGCCACCCATTGCTTTACTCTGGACACACAATATGAACCTCAGCTACTCCAAGCCTTCAGGAGAACTAAGGGCCTGAAGAGAACAGGATGCAAGTCTCAGCTCTGCTTTGTTCCCACATTTAACTCCATAGTGACATTTTCCAGAGAAAGAAAAAGTAAATTTGGATGTTCACGTACCTGCCATGCCAGTAACTGGTTTGGCTCAAGTTCAATAGCCTTCTTATATGCTGCTTTGGCCTGATCAGGCTGCTCTAACTCAGTAGCTGCCAGGCCAATAAATACCCAAGCATTGTAGTTATTTTTTTCTTGCTTCAAGACTGCCTAAAAATACACAATTGTAAATGAAACTGATGAATGAAATGCATCTTATAGATCCATGTATTGAGTTTTATCATTACAGTTTGGTGAATTACTCTGTACAGTAATATCAGAAGCTAAGACATTTTTAGGAAAAGGGTAAGATTAATAACTTCAGCTTTTTATGCCAGATAATCCTTCATATCTGAACTGTTCTGCCAGTAACCAAATCTGTAGCTCAGCCATTAAAGCACCCCTGTCGAGGTCTGGATTACACATGGATTTTATCACTGTCATTCTAGACTTAACATTTTTATAACCACATATAAGCAAATGCAAAAGGTAAAGGGAATAAAGGTTTACCTGTGGGCAACTAACATAAATGATCAATAAGTTAAACGTGAAAATCAATCTCAACTATTACATCAATAAGGTACTCTACACTTTGCATCACTCTACAGCTGCAGGGGTACAGGAACAGCAAACAAAATGTTCAAAAAACATTAATTTCCAAGTAAAAAATTACCTTGCAGTGTTTCAAGGCTTCCTTATATTCTTTATTTCGTATTGCATCTCTAGCACTCTTTAATGCTGCCTTCACCTCCTTATTTGACATTGTAGCTACTAAGTAAAAAGGACATACAATCAGTTCTTATGAAAAGATAAGCTGAACTCAAAACATTGTTTACATCCTACTGTAACAGCATAGAGTGCATTTTAAACACAGAAATACAGTGCAATATGCCAAAATGTATACAGCACTAAAAGCTGCTGAGACAAATAATATCGTTAAAACTACTTATGCTTCGCTCCAATGCAGGATTAAGTCAATATTCCAAACAGTTAAATGATAGAAAGTACCTATCCCAGAATGCAATTTTGGCTACGGTTTTACATAAACTTAAATAGTAGGAGAGCTGTTGTGACAGTCACCACAGTTAGACTCCTAGAAAGACACCCTGCATATGGTTTCTTTTAAAAAAGGTATTACTAAGCACTGAACTGTGCTTCAGAGGCATACCGCACTGGACATGGGCTCAAGGGCTTCCTAAGGATCAGCGTTTTTCTTGCATGCTATTTACAGCAGTACCATGGCCAGCCTGTCACTTACATTCAGGCCTGGTCCGCAACGCTCTTGGTCCCTTCACACACACTTACGGCAGACCCTGCTTCTGACACCAGCTGTATAGCGAAAAAGAAGCAACCTTTAAGGACACATCTGAGAGGCATTCACGCTTTTGAACTCTAACATAAATGTGCACTATTTGGATGCACACAGTAAATAATTTGCCTCAAACTGACTTTAGAAACACCATCATCAAAACTGCCTAAATGGGATGAGGCTAAGAAACAATGCTCCTGGTGCAGACACTGAAAAAGACTGAAAAAGTGACAAGCTAAAGAATCAAAAAAATCTTTCAGCAGCTGAAGAGCAGAAGTTAAAGAGTGGATGAAGGGCCTAAAGAAAAATTCGTAATGAAAGGACAAACAAAGAGGGTGGATTTCAAATATTCCCTCCGAGCCTAAAA